CTATCAACTGCAGAAAAAACTGTACAGATACAGACAGACTCTCTTCCTTTCCAAATGCAAACAGATGGACACGTACCAAAAGGACGAAGGTAAAAAATCCATTACAATCTACATACCACACAGCTATGCTGACAGCTTGTGCCTCCCTCTCAAAAAACCGAATCACCTGATCAAGATCCTCTACAGCAAACAGGGAAAGATTAAGAATGAGCTCCAAAAATGGATACTCTCATAAAGAACCAACCTTCCACACAACTTCCTCGTGGCTGGATTTTACTAAAACTAGACAAGCCATTTACAATGCACACTTTGCTTCTCACAAAAGAAAAAAGGACACTAAACTTTCTAAACTACTACATGCTACAAGGGGCCACAGCAATGGTTCCCTCACCCCACCTAGCAATATTGTTAACCTATCCAACTATACTCTCACCCAGCAGAAGCCTGTTCTATCTCGCCTCTCCTTCGCCCCTCCACCCCCACGAACATGTACAGTTCTGTGGTGACCTAGAATCCTATTTTCGCTCCCGTCTCAAGGAATATTTCCAAAATACCTCTGAACAACATACTAATCCACAGAGGTCTCCCTGCCAACACTACAGAAAGAGGGATTCTAGATGGACTCCTCCTGAAGGTCAAAACAGCAGACGGACTTCTACAAGAGTGCTTCCCGACGTGCACGGGCTGAAATTGTGGAAAAGCAGCATCCTTGCCCCATAACCTCAGCCATGCGAACAATGCCATCCACAGCCTCAGAAACAACTCTGACATCATAATCAAAAGGCTGACAAAGGAGGTGCTGTTGTCATCATGAATAAGTCGGAATATGAACAAGAGGCTGCTAGCGCCTCCAACACAGTTTCTACAAGCCATTACCCTATGATCCCACTGAGAGTTACCAAAAGCAACTACAGCATTTGCTCAAGTAACTTCCTGAAAAACACAAGATCAAACCCACACTACCCCTGGAACCCCGACCTGGGATATTCTATCTACTACCCAAGATCCATAAACCTGGAAATCCTGGCGCCCCATCATCTCAGGCATTGGCACCCTGACAGCAGATTGTCTGGCTATGTAGCTCCCTCCTCAGCCCTACCTACCAGCCTCCCAGCTACCTTCGAACACCACTGACTTCCTGAGAAACTTCAATCCATCGGTGATCTTCCTGATAACACCATCCTGGCTACTATGGATGTAGAAGCCCTCTACCCAACATTCCACACAAAGATGGACTACAGCCCAGGAACACTATCCCCGATAATGTCACCTAACCTGGTGGCTGAACTTTGTGACTTTGTCCTTACCCATAACTATTTCACATTTGGGGACAATGTATACCTTCAGATCAGCGGCACTGCTATGGGTACCCGCATGGCCCCACAGTATGCCAACATTTTTATGGCTGATTTAGAACAACCTTCCTCAGCTCTCGCCCCTAAAGCCCCTACTCTACTTGCGCTATATTGATGACATCTTCATCATCTGGACCCATGGAAAAGAAGCCCTTGAGGAATTCCACCATGATTTCAACAATTTCCACCCACCACCAACCTCAGCCTGGTCCAGTCCACACAAGAGATCCACTTCCTGGACACTACAGTGCTAAAAAACAAGGCCACAAAACACCACCCTATACCGGAAACCTACTGACCGCTATTCCTACCTGCATGCCTCCAGCTTTCACCCTGACCACACCACACATCCATCGTCTACAGCCAAGCTCTGCATACAACCCATTTGCTCCAACCCCTCAGACAGAGACAAACACCTACAAGATCTCTGTCAAGCTTTCTTACAACTACAATACCCACCTGCAGAAGTAAAGAAACAGATTGATAGAGCCAGAAGAGTTCCCAGAAGTTACCTACTACAGGACAGGCCTAACAAAGAAAATAACAGACCCACTAGCCTCACCTTCAGCCCCAACTAAAACCCCTCCAACGCATTATTAAGGATCTACAACCTATCCTAAAGGATGACCCAACACTCTCACAAGTCTTGGGAGACAGGCCAGTCCTTGCCTACAGACACCCCCAACCTGAAGCAAAACCACCAACAACCACATACCACACAACAGAACCACTAACCCAGGAACTTATCCTTGCAACAAAGCCCGTTGCCAATTGTGCCCACATATCTATTCAGGGGACACCATCACAGGGCCTAATAACATCAGCCACACTATCAGAGGCTCGTTCACCTGCACATCCACCAATGTGATATATGCCATCATGTGCCAGCAATGCCCCTCTGCCATGTACATTGGTCAAACTGGACAGTCTCTACGTAAAAGAATAAATGGACACAAATCAGATGTCAAGAATTATAACATTCATAAACCAGTCGGAGAACACTTCAATCTCTCTGGTCACGCAATCACAGACATGAAGGTCGCTATCTTAAAACAAAAAAACTTCAAATCCAGACTCCAGCGAGAAACTGCTGAATTGGAATTCATTTGCAAATTGGATACTATTAATTTAGGCTTAAATAGAGACTGGGAGTGGCTAAGTCATTATGCAAGGTAGCCTGTTTCCTCTTGTTTTTTCCTACCCCCCCCCAGATATTCTGGTTTAACTTGGATTTAAACTTGGAGAGTGGTCAGTTTAGATGAGCTATTACCAGCAGGAGAGTGAGTTTGTGTGTGTATGGGGGTGGGGGGGGAAGTGAGAAAACCTGGATCTATGCAGGAAATAGCCCGACTTGATTATGTAAAGAGTTGTCACTTTGGATGGGCTAGCACCAGCAGGAGAGTGAATTTGTGTGGGGGGGTGGAGGGTGAGAAAACCTGGATTTGTGCTGGAAATGGCCCACCTGTTGATCACTTTAGATAAGCTATTACCAGCAGGACAGTGGGGTGGGAGGAGGTATTGTTTCATATTCTCTGTGTGTATATAAAGTCTGCTGCAGTTTCCACGGTACACATCTGATGAAGTGAGCTGTGGCTCACGAAAGCTCATGCTCAAATAAATTGGTTAGTCTCTAAGGTGCCACAAGTACTCCTTTTCTTTTTGCGAATACAGACTAACACGGCTGTTCCTCTGAAACTTGACCACATCAAAGTAAATCTCCATTAGAAATTCCTGTCAGCCTGCACCCCTACTGAGATTCAGCACTGACAAGCAGCATGAGTATCTAAACACATTTAACCATACTACCTCCTTTCCAACATGCAAATGGGCTGTTTTTAAGCCTCTTATACCTTCTCACACATTCAAATGTATTGTCTGTTCTTAGGGACAAAATAATAATACTTTGATTCATAGGGAATGCATTTGATATATGGGTCTCAATGGTTTACAACGCAATTTGCATTATCCCCATTTTACTGAGAGGGATACAGAAGCATAGGAATTGAGTGATCTACCTAAGGTTACAGAGCAAGTCAGTCACAGGGTTCGGAATAGAACTCAGAGATCTCTTGAATCCCAATTTCCCAAATTAACCATATTGAATACTCCCCTCATATTCAAAGCACTCCACAAACATTAATTAATCCTAAAACTAATTTCCACAATGGAAAGAGGCCACAGCAGATTTTACATAAATCAAAGAATCACATAAAATCATCATCTTCCCCTTAGAAAGCAGAACAGTGCATGATCCAAACAGGTGATCTGTATTTGATGAGGATTTGCATGGGAAGTGTGTTCAGTACCAGTGATAAGAGATTGAGGTGGAAAGTGATAAGTCAGAAGGGAGATGAAAAACCGCTGTTTGGACCTTTACAATTATGAGCTCCTTAGTAATTTGTTTGTATATGGCTTCTTGGGAAAAGCAATCTATTGTTTTTCTTATACTGTACATCATTTCTTTCCCTCTTTTTTTGATGACGTTAGGATAATAAGGTTGCATAAAGAAAAAAGTACCTCAGTGCCACAGTCAGGGGTCATTGGAGGTGCAGCGCACTGCTACTTCACAGAATGCTCATAGTGATACCTACCCTAGACCAGCAAGACTGACTCTTATGGAGCATCAGGACAGTTAGTTGCTATGCTTGTTATTACTAGTATTACAGGACACTCATCAATACATCCGGCTCAGCGCCAGGTCTCAACTGAGCAAAGACTGAAGTGTACCAAATTAAGTGTGATTCTTCTTGGGATTCTGGCAAGTGGGAACTGAGGATAGTATCAGTAAGTTTATTTCACTTTCAAGCAGGGGCTTAGAAGGGGAAAGAGAAGGCGCACCAAAGTATTTTAATACCCTCGGCTGCATGCTTTACAAATGGAGGCTCTTCGGCTTCACTTGTCAGTGGGTTCCTTTCTCTCATCATCATATTGCATTGGCCTAGGTTACTGTAGCTCTTATCCCACAACACACTGATTTCTACTAGGCCCATCTTCCCTCTGCCCCTATTACTTGTGGAATAACAGGAAGAAAAGGAAGTTAGCGAATGCATGGTCATCTAGTATTCTTGAACAGAAGCTGTGCACAGATATGAACGTTTATACTATCTGTGACAGAACGAACCTGTGTCCACACCCCACATCCGATTGTAAATCTTTGCACAATATCTTGTATAGTATCATTTAAAAACTCATAATTTCCTGGTTATTATCATCCTGATAAAATGTGTGGCAACACTGCATGTGAAGTCATGAGATTCCACTGTATGGTGTTATTAATTCATGTTCCAGACTGAGGTTGGCAAACAGGTCTGTCTCAAACAAAGGAATGTGTGCTCTGCTTAATCTGCATTTAAGCGGTAAACAGAATCATCAAACAGGAAGGGAAACAAAGGGCATTCAAACAGGTGAGGGACAAAGTAGCAACGACCATCCTGCCCTATAGATTCTTTGTCTCCTGAATCTCCGCTGGAAGTTTTTCAAGAGGGGGACTGACACTCTAAAAAGGAAGGACAAACACCTCAAAATATCCCCCCCATCTCTCTGCCCATCAATTCACTGCACCCGAAGGAATAAAGGACATAGACATTGGACTGGAGAAGGAGTCCTGACCTAAGAAGTTTGGTCAGTAAGACTGCTGAAAGCATGTGGCGAGAAATTTTGCTTTAATCAGATATAGTGTGTTCAGTTAGGCACCAGTAGCGTTTTAACTTTATTTCCTTGTAACCATTTCTGATTTTTATGCCTCATTACTTGTACTAACTTAAATCTCTCTGTGTAGTTAATAAACTTGTTTTATTTAATCCAGTGTGTAAACTGAAGTGTCTGGGAAACTCCATTTGGGATGGCAAGTTATGTGAATATTATTTCTATTAAAAGCAAATAATGGACTTTTTATAAACTTGTATTGTCCAGGAGAAGCCTGGGCAATATAGGACATACATTTCTGAGAGGGGGTGGGGAGGGTGGAATCTAAGACTTGGAGTGTGTTCGGCTGCAGTATAGCCCAGGCTGGTAAGAGCCAAGTTATGGCTGGCTGGCTGCAGCACGCACACAGACATAGCTGGCAGTGACTTGCATGCTGGAGGCTGTTAGTCACCAGTCCAGGCTGGAGCCTACAGCAGCGAGGCATTGGAAAGGGCATCCTAGGTTAGAGGGCAGGGGTGACACAGTGCCTCATTAGTCTGGATTGCACACTAGAATGTTACACTGTCATGTTCAGTACTGTCATGTTCAGTACTAAAAGTTCATAAATCAGAGCCTTGGCAGACTGTCTGGAATAGCTGGAACTAGAAAACCCCATTTGAGGCTCCCCTTTGGACCCTGCCTGATGCTGTCAGCTCCTGAAAGTCCTGCATTCAAGCAGTAAAGGTCTGATCCAAATTAACTAACACCTTTTTAGTGTCACATCAACACTATGATTAGAAGTCAGTCTGACCAGCTTCTCAGGAATCTGTCGAGGCACTTTATGTCTATGAAGCCAAAGGGTTGGCATGAATTGTGACATCCTTAATGTGAACATCGTTAAGAGGTCGGTAGGTTTTCTCATTCACTGGGAGCTTCTCCAGCTCATCTAGGGTCTCCAGACCATCAATTACCCTGGAAAGAAAGCAGAACAATCATGAGAATTCTCTTGTAATGAAAGGCCCATCTTTCCTTTCATAGTCTCGGTATTCCAAAAGCAATTTACAGTGAATTAAGGTACCTGCCATGCAAGGACTGAGTAAGAAAGTAAGATAGCTATTATGAGTTTACTAGTAATTTAATGTCCCCTGGACATAATAACCTATTGTGAAAGAGAATTTTGAGTGGCCACGTATGACTCGTGGGAGGGTGCCACAGTCCTTTTAATTTCCACTTGGGTAGCCAGAGAGATCTAATGTTCCATTTAAAGGACAGCATGCTCCTTTCCCCTGCCCTGTCAGCACTTAATATGACACCCAAACTGGGTTATGATTTTTCCTCCCCACAAACAGGATACAAGTAACTCCCATTGACTTTGCGATACAATTCATCACAATTCACAATTCATCCCAACCCTTTCACTCCATAGCTATAAATTGCCTGAGAGGATTCCCGAGAGGTTGGTCAGACTGATCATGGCATTTAAAACTACTCTAGCAAGATACTCATCAAACTGGACTTCACTGGGAATTACTCATGTCCTCTGACTGGGGAATCAGGCCATGGATGACAGATTCTAATCAATAATGTTCTGACACAGAGGCAGGAGCAGTACTAACCATTACTGACCACATAAATCTGATAGCTCTGGGACATCCTAGATACTGATTTACTACAGGATAAATTTAGAGGTAGAGTTTATACTTCTGGGTTTCTGTCCAAGCTGGAAAGTTGACATGAGAAAGCAACTTAACACTAATAGATACCTTACAACTCTTTAAACAACTGTTACTATAACCATCTGAGAAAGAGGTAAGGAAACATCCAAAATACTATGAGGACAACATCAATATAAAAACCATGTTTCTCTGTGATACTTGTAACCACAGTAGGTACAAAGTAACACCTATGCCTAGATGACTATAACTGAAAGATCAAAGGAAAAAAATATTGTTTTCACTGCTGGGAGATAAAGCAGTGTTTCTCCTAGCAGTTTCATTCCCCATACTATTAGGATAAATTCATGAAGCCTCACTTCATGTGAATAAATTAAATATTCAGCTCTCAAAAATATCCCATGCTGGTTTATTTCTCCCTTTAAAATGAAAAGGAGGACCGGTATGCAAAATTGTAGTGATGACCAAAGAGGGAAATGCTACAAACCAAAAGAGAGAAACTTACAGACACTGTCAATACTAATAGGCCCCAAGTTGGGCCTACATTTTCTTTTCAATTTGTGTATGTAGTCCTTGTAATTCTTTAAAGTTTCATCCCCCAAAATGCCATGCATAACAGTGCTCTTTCCCAAAAGAAATATATTCCAGTAGCCCCCCAGCACTCAAACAGGACCAACAACAATTCACAAGATTTTTTTCCCTTTTTCTATTCAACCTGAATGTCAGACTCCATGGAAAGCTACTCTTTGATATATATTTGAAAGGAAAGTTTCAGTTTTAGTACGTTAGTTTAAATCTCTGACTTCTGAGATCTCTTGGGCCCATCAACATGTACGTTCTTATCTCTCAGAAGCTAAAATAAGCCCAATAGCAGTATAACTGGACTTACAGCATAGCTGGTAAAGCACACATAGTTTACCAAAAATATGCCATTCAGACCCTCATTGCACAAGACAAACAAAATAATTAGAGGTCCAATCCTACAAGCAATTCTACTCAATTCAGTGTGACTACTTGTGAGAGAAAGGGGTTTGCAGATCAGGATACACATTTGTAATGTTATAATTTATAAACATTTTCCATGGAAAATTAATAACTGCAGCACATTTCATAAAATATTGACTTGTGGTATGATTACCTCATTCTGTAATTTCCACATCCAGAGACTGTGTCCAGAAACAATTCTACATAATAAACTAGCGTGTGCCTGGGTGATAAAGATATTCACCTATTTTAAAGGGGCAATTATAATTAAAAGTGAAAAATACTTTGCTTATGTCTTTTAAAATACAGTACAACAACCTTATGTAGTATCTAAAGAAGTCAGTCACAGTTCACACTTATGTAGCCAAGACTTGTACAGGTTTCTGCTGTAACAGGACTATAGATTTCTACTACAGTTGCCCTGGTGTATCCTTGCCCTTCATACTGTATCATGAGGAGGCACACTGCTGGGTCACTTACTTCCCAAAGACAGTATACTTCATATCAAGGTGTGGCTGTTTGCCGTATGTAATGAAGAACTGAGATCCATTGGTGTTTGGGCCATTGTTTGCCATGGAAACGACACCGCGGACACTGTGCTAAAAGAGAAGTAGAAATGGAAGAAAACGCATACATACGTATTCTGTGAATGCATGACTGCAGCCGATAGCCAGGGCTTAGTTACCTAGCATTCTGACTCCCAATCTTTATTCAAATAGACAACAAAATCTGACTCCCTCCCAGTTGCCAAAACCCTCCTTTGTGATCCACAACTAGCCCCTCAGATCTGACTCTGCCATGTCAGATGTCTCCCTTTCACCCCTCCCACAAGGATGCGTGAAAATCACCTTAGACCAATACAAAATTTCCCCACCTCACCCTCCACAGAGAGAAGCAGCCCTAACTCTACATTTCCCAAACTACTGAAACTCTCCAGTACCCCACTTCAATAACAAGCCTCCCATTATCTTACTGTGGGCTTGGACTTTAATTAACATATTTTCAAAACCGTTATTTAATCCCAATACTATGCAACATTGATCGTCTCTTGCTCTTGAGACTGAATTCATGTGAAGAAACATCAATAGTATATTGAAGAGCACAGAAATACCTTTAGGTGTTCACTATATTCATCTTCAAATTTCCTGCCCCAAATGCTGTTACCTCCTTTCCCAGAGCCTGAGGAAGTAGTGACAGGGATGGATTACTTTCTTCTCAGGGTTGAGAAAGAATCTCCTATCACAGTCATTTTCAAAAAATTTTGAAACAGAATATTGGTATCTTAAGTTACAGTTAAAACTCTAGATAGCCTGTAAGCTGTCTGAGGCAGGGAATCAGGTTTTCGTATGTGTGTTAGATGCTGTACAAACAATGAGGACCTGATCCCAATTGGAACATATGGGTGCTACTGCAATTTAAATAAATAATAACTTAGAGCAGGAGAACAAAAGACTGAGATATTCCCAAATTCAAATTAATATGACAGCAAACAGCAACAGACGTGAACCAGGCTTTCCTTCAAATAGCAGACACTTTCTGAATCATAGTCCTAAATGCCACACAGACAGTGTTCAGAGGCAGTGTGACCTGGTCACAAGCATGGGAAACAGGAATCTCTGCATTCAAATGCTGGATCTCCCACTGATTAGCTGTCAAATCACAGCAAATGATCATAGAGATAATACTAAGCACAGAATGCTGATTGAGAGGATTAAAATTTGTACAGTGAGCTGAAGATGTAATTAGCTTATGACTAGAATTAATATTTTAAATCCAGAGTGAATAGCAACTTATCTGAAAGTACCCAGATCATGAAAGTCGCTCTCATCACTACAGCGTTGTGTTACTTATCTTGCCTCCCACCTTTGAGAAAGGGCTCAATATACCAGATATTAATGGAAGGATTTACCTGTTGGATCCCCTGTCTGCACCATGAATCCTTTGATATTCCGGTGAAATATGCACCCATTGTAGTAGTTACTAGCACAAAGAGCCAGGAAGTTCTATAGGAAGAGCAAGAGTGCTCAGTAAGAAGCAGTCCAGCAGTAACATGTTCTGTGCTGGACACATTATGTTATTCTGAGAGGAACACTCAAGGGTGACAGGAATAAAATTAACCCTTCCAGCTTTGGTTTGTATTGTGAGCATAGTATGCTATCACTGTGTTATCTCAGACTGCTCCTGGTTATTGAAATACATTTAAAAAAAATAAGTTTTCCATGATCCCTCATTACCTCTCCCTTCCTCCTTAAAGACTTACCAAAAATACTAACTGTGCCAGTAACAATAAAAAGTAGACTGAAACCTTTTACACCAAAACCAATGCATCAGGATTGGTGGTTTTCTGCAGACACTATATAGAGGGGAAAAAAATATCTAATGGACACAAACAGTTGGTCATATTACATGAAAAAACACTCTTCTATAGTGTTTTATTTATATTCAGACTGGGACTGCCCAAGACTAATTTAGTAAAAGGCAAAGTTTTGCAAAAAAACCCAACCCCAAACCAGGAAAAAGGTAAGATGGCCAAGTTTTTTTTCTCTCTCTCTCCCCTTTTGTTTTTAAACTCATTTTATCTTTTTTATTCTTCCATGTACGCTGGTAACAGAACATTACAAAGTGGGGTCTCTTGTTAGGAAGCTGAGTTAGATTGAGGGTCCTATAAACCTATTTTCCATAGATAGGCTCCTATTGTGCAAAGATTTATGAGTGTACTTAACTCTAGGAGCTGTGAGTAGTCTAACTGAAGTAACTGAACTACTCTTGCTGCTTCAAATTAAGCATGTGTAAATATGTTTGGGTTCAGGGCCATAATTAGGAACATAAGAAATGCCATACTAGAGACTATTTTTAATCCCACTCCTGTTATTATGGCAGCAGGTCCTGCGGGACCCATGGGATCCTGGTCCCACTGCAGGGTTCTACACTAGTCTCCCGCAGGTCCATCTAGTCCAGTATCCCATCTCTGGTAATGGCCGGTATTAGATGCTAAAGAAGAAGGTGCAAGAAGCCCCATCATGGGCAATCATGGAATAATTTGCCGATAGAGGAGTTTTCTTCCTAATCCTTGACAGTGATTATCTTATGCCTAGAAGCATGAAGGTTTACATCTCTTTTACATTTGTATTCTGTCTAATGTAATAGTGTTTTCATTTTCCATATAAATGTCTAATCTTATTAAACTCTTGGCTTTAATGATATCTTGTGGCAATGAATTCCACAGGTTAATTATGCACTGTGTGAAAAGTTCTCCTGGTATAAGTTTTATATTTGTTCCTTTTCACATCCACTGAATGTTCTCATATGATGCAAAAGGATAAATGGAAACATCCGAAATTTACTTTCTCTATACCATTCATTATTTTGTTTCTGTCATGTCCCATCTTATCTGTCTCCTCTCAATGCTAAACAGTCCCAGTCTTGTCATATTACTCACTTCACAGGCCTTAGGTGTTCGCTCACAGAATATCTCTATTTTAATATCTCCCACATCAGTGTGTAGTGTGACAGCCTGAAGGGAAGGAAAAAAAATTAAACCAGAATTTTGACTCAAAATCAAAGACTGAAAGCTACCAACTCTGCTCTATTCACTAGTCACCCTGGGAATATAAATGCATTTCCATTTCCAGCTAACTGTCTGTGTATGTGAAGTTAAGATGGAGACCAAAATCTGGATTTGTTCCTAAATCAAGTGAATTCCCTGAGCCCGTATGCATGGGATCTCCCAGACACAAAAAAGCTGAGCTACATCCAGAAGTTAGTTAAAAAAAAGTTGTCAGTAAAACTGAGAACAAGATTAATGCTCAGAGCTTTTCTTGTTGTGCTGTCGCCAAGCATCACTCTGAGGAGTGAGTCGGTGTCCCATGGACCTGCTCACATCCCTAGTGAAGACAACAGGAAGAGATTGGACCTCATGTGAATAAGGCCTGTAATTAAAAAGAACTAACAAGGTATTCTTCAGAGTAATAACAAAGCTCAGCTGCATATATTTTTTCATCTCTGTGAACCAGACCAACACTTTCAGCTCAAAGATGAGAGAAAAAATAGCCTAGTCAGTCATATCTCAGCACACCCATGCTGAAGACCCAAGTTCCTCCCAGTTTCATTCCATGAGATGGTAGTACATGCACTCAGTCAGTCTATAGTAGATAGGAACAAGTGTCTCATGTCACTGACTTGCAATCTTTCTGTTGAGTTAGCACTGACGGGCTGCAAAAAGTGTTTTATATAAGTCCTTCCTCTGAAAGGTGGTGGCTGCAAAGCGCAATTTTCTCAAAGATTCAGTTGAAAGGGGAAAAAAATAAAAACAAATCAGTAGTGTTACTCACATGAGTCAGTCTGTGCTCTGGATTATTCACAATGTATTTTGTGTATATGGGAGGGAATGTTTTTTGGGGGGTTGAGAATAAGCAATGGGATACACAAGTTTTAAGACAGATGGGTGTGCCAGATCACAGTTATCCAAGTGTTACACACAAAGCCATCATGCCTCTCTTCACCCAGATCACAAAATCACAGCACTTACATTGAAAGAACTATATTAATGTGGGGACAAAGCATCACGCTTACTAGTAGAGACATACATGTACAGAAAAAATTACAAAACCAATGTTCTGTGGTGCATGTTTCCATACTTTATATAGAAAGAAGGGAAGACAATTGGCTGTGATCTCTATGGAGCCACAATAAAAGAAGTTTGTGTATCTATCTTGTTTGAGAAATGTAACCTTACACTTTATTTCCTGGGTTTTAAATTCTTTCCATTTTTTAAACTCTAACATTCTTAAAAGGGTAATATGTACTCAGACCACAGATATGTATTTACACCCTTAACACAGTTTTATGTGGGAACAGAGACCAAATGAGATGACCAAAATCATTATCCAAACCAGAATTTGAATTTAGTGCTAGTGAATCTAGCAGCAGAAGGCTAATGCACTACCTAATCTCATGAAATAGTAAAACTGACATATTCACTTTTCCACAGCACACTGGACAGAAATCAATTAAATGGGTAGCTGAGCTTTACATCACAAGTTCTTTACAATAAACTAAATTGTGGGATTATTTGGGATTCAGAGCTGCTCTCCAGTTCTCAATACTAGATTCATAAAATTTAAAAATATATCTAAAAACTGCCTGTCTCACCATGTCTTTTTGTTAGGAGTCCAATGCAGACAAGTCAAATGGTTTCCTGCAAAGAAAACACATTTATTTTAGTTTTTCTTCACCACCTCCTTTAAAAATTCTAGAATCTTTTAGGTGGTCAGTGAAACTATACAAGTGATTGCACTATGGATTTTTACAGTAGTGTTCAGATCAACCTGTTCATAAGCATCTTATGTATATTACATAAACTACCCACCACTTAGAGAACTAGAAATTAATTGAACAAAGTATTTTTATAAACAAATCAATATATAGAAAAACTTCCATATGATGAGAGCCTGAAGAGATTGCAACTGTTCAATTTAAAGAGAAGATTCATAGATTTTTTTTAAAGCCAAAAGGGATCATTATGATCTAGTCTGCCCTCCTGCATAATACAGGCCAAAGAACAGCTCTCAATAATTCTTGCATCAATCCCATAACTTCTGTTTGAGCTAGAGCATAACTTTTAACGAAACTGAGATTTAGTCTTCACTTAAAGACTGCAAACAATAGAGAACCTACCACCTTTCTAGAAAACCATTGGAACAATTTTAATTAGTCACTGTTAAAAATCTGTGTCTGAATTTGTCTAGCTTCAGCTTCCAGTCCCTGGATCTCACTATGTCTTTTTCTGCTAGTTTAAAGGGCTGTTTACTATAAGAAATCTCCTCATACAGGTATTTGTGAACCGTGAGCAATTCACTTCTTAACTTTTTCTTCAACAAACTACAGATGATCTCTTGAGTACCTCTGTGTAAGGAAGGTTTTCCAGACCTCTAATCAGTCTCCTAGCTTTTTTCTAAATACTTTCCAATTTTTTTGTATCCTTTTTGAAGAGTGGCCAAGTCTCAGTAACGTACAGACATAATACAACCTCCCTAATTATGACATTTCCCAGCTCATATATTCCAGGATTGTATTTGTCCTCTTAGCCGCTTATGTGACTGTGGAATTGTGGTTTATTTGGGCATCAGATAAAACATTCTTAAACAACTCTTTATTACAGTTCACATTTTTAAGGTTACATTTTTCCTCCCACACTCAATTATGCTCATGGTTGCTTTCAGCTTTGGGAAAGTGGGCCTTTTAAAGCACCCAGTATAGTAGACAGCTATTTCCGGTGGTCAGGACACTATTGCTGGCACATAAAGGAAATTAGGCTGTGATCACTTGCACCCAAGTAACTACCCATGTTATGTTCAGGGACCAATTCCCGTTCGCCCCTCAGGACGAAGTCTGATACCGAGCAACGCAAGGTCTGTTATGGCCCAGCACGGGGACTTTTGAGAGCAACCACCCATCACAAGCAAAGGTTAGAGATGGAGGCAGCGACCAGCCCGCTCCCTCCTCGGACCGGGCTGACTGCTGGGGGTCCAGAGACAAAGCGGCTCAGCCGGAGAGCGAGGGCTGGGCCGAGGGGGCCAAGCCCTTAACGACTCAGGCTCTACGGGGCTGCCCCAGAGCCGCTCGGCCCGGGGCAGGTGCTGGTCAGCCCAGCTGAGGGGCCGCTGCAGGGGAACTGGGGCCTCCCGCCCGGCTACCCCGGCGCCCCGGGAGGGGCCCAGCCCCCGAGCGCCGCAGCCGCCCGCTCACCTGCTTCCCGCGCTCGGTGCAGGCCCAGCGGAAGGGGCCGCTTCGCAGACGGACCAGGCCCCGCGCGGGGCGGGGGCGCTTTTCAGCGAGGCGCCGCCAGTCCCAGCCGGGCCGAGGTAGGTGGGTGTCGGTGCGCCCGGGGGGCTGCCGGGCCGGATCTTGGGGGCTGCCCTGCCTGGCAGGGGACGGGCCCGCCTGAGGGGCCCGCCCCCGGACAGAGGCGCTGACGCTGCCCCAAGCGAGGGCTGTCAGCGCGGCGGGGCTGCGCGCCGCGGGGGTCGGGTCATAGCGCCCTTCCCCGTGGCACCACTGGCCCGAGCAGGAGCCCTAGCCTGGGGGCAGGAGCGGAGCCCCACACTCTCTGTCATAGCTTCTTCCCTGGCTCTGCTCCCTGTGGAAACCCAGGCTCCCCAGACCAGCCAGTGGCGTCCCTATGGTGGCATAGCCACAGCTTGTCTTACCTAGGCAGTGTTGCTAGATCAGGTAGCTTTTCTAGCCCTTATGGGTGCGCAGTAAAAGCATGGGAACATGGCCGAGCCTGCCCCATCTTCCTCAGACTGCAGAGAGCCTGAAACAGGAGTTCAGCAGGGTACCATTGTGCTGCTAACCCCGGTGTGAAAGTAGAGGAAGGAAGACTAGTTACAACACTAGAAGACGAAGTAAAAGTTTATCTTTATGATGGGGTTTGCAAATTCAGCCTTAAGATTTTCAAAGACATTGAGCTGAGAGAAGGATTGCTCTGCCCATGACTTGTTATTTAAGTCTGCCCAAGACCACAAAAGCTCAGGATCCCAAGATCTCTTGTGCTGCATGTGTTTAAAGTCAGCCCTGGTTGCTTCTGTAAGAGTTTTATTAGTGTCTACCTCTGTCTCATATGCAGCGTTCATCAGTGTTGGAGAGCAAAGAATGGCACATTTTCCCCCCTGGTGGCTAGCAGTTCTTGTTGCCGTTACCGTCTGATCAAAAGCTGTGTTGACTTGTCCCCAACATATCATGTTCACCCATGTGTCTGATAATTCTGTTCTTTACTACACCAATTTGCCTGGTACTGCAGTTAGGCTTATCAGCCTCTAATTGCCAGGATCGCCTCTGGGCCCTTTTAAAAAATTGGCATCCTCCAGTCATCTGGTACAGAGGCCGATTTAAGCAATAGGATACATACCGCGGTTAGTAGTTCTTCAGTTTCATATCTGAGTTTCTTCAGAACTCTTGGGTGAATACCATCTGGCCCTGTAACTGACCACTTTAAGTTATCAATTTGTTCCAAAACACTTCCATTTCCATCTCTACTGAAAAATATTGAATGAGATGCCCAAGTGGAGGTGTTTTCATACCTGGGCTGGATGTTGGCCAGTCTGAATGCTCAGACATTGATGTTTAACTCAGAATTATCTTAAATTTCTGCCCTATCCCTCAACATCCCTAATTATGTTTTGCCTCTTTAGATATATGCATGCTGCTGTCCTGTGTGCACCTGATTCGCCGACCTCTCCAGTGCATCCAGCCTTTGCTTGTCTTGCCTTCACGCTCCTTCATGGATCTAAAAGCTCTAGTTTCCTCCTTGAATGACTTTGCTTCACTCTCTCTGGCTGAAAGCTGGGACAATGTAGGACTACTGGTAGAACCGAGCCCACCCCATACTGTGAGCACACTCTTCCTAACTAATGACCTTACAGAGGAAGTAATGCAGGAGGCATTGCAGAGGAAGGCAGATCTTATCCTCTCTTACCACCCACCCATATTCCGAGCACTCAAGCGCATTACATGGAAAACCTGGAAAGAGCGTCTTGTGATCCAGGCTTTGGAACACAGAGTCGGCATTTACTCTCCACACACAGCATATGATGCCATACCTCATGGAGTCAATAACTGGCTAGCCAAAGGACTTGGTGAGATACCCCTTTTTTAACTGATACTCAATTTAAATTGCTCTTTAACAATACAGTGTAAGTCTATGAGAAATGTCTTTATCAATTTTCCCAGGTGCTTATATGCATGATTTGAGTTTATTTTTTTAAAAGTGTGTTTTTTCATAATTTTAAAGTAATCTAAATCAGTGGTTCCCAAACTTGTTCCGCCGCTTGTGCAGGGAAAGCCCCTGCTGAGCCAGGCCGGTTTGTTTACCTGCCGCGTCCGCAGGTTCAGCTGATCGCGGCTCCCACTGGCCGCAGTTCGCTGCTCCAGGCCAATGGGAGCTGCTGGAAGTGGCGCGGACCAAGGGATGTACTGGCCACCATACATAATCGTATGTTGGTAAAAAGTTCCAGATAACTCTAGAAACCAAAGTTCATAAATTAAGTCTCTTATTTATCCACAGAGTAAACTTTCCCACATTGTACGATAAATATGACTCAGCTCTGACCTGAGAGAGAACTTTTAAGGCAGAATTTCAAAACTGGTCTGTGGACCACTGGCTGGCTGATCATATAATCTTGGATCTCATCCTTGGTTCCACCTTAGTGAAAAGATGGGAGCCCGTGATGGAGTACTTATTTTTTCACCCAAAATGCACAGCATGTAAATTTCACTGTCAGCTAAAAATGTATACATTCTTTAATACTTTTATTTATGTGACCCCATCATATGGTATCTGAGCACCTCTGAACCATTGATGGATTTCATCCTTGCAGCATGTCTGGGACATAGGGAAATATTATGGAACTGAGGCCCAGAACAGATTGTGATTTGTCCAAGATCAAACTGGAAATAAGGCATTTTTTTTTTTCACATGGAGAGTAATTAACCATTGGAAAAAAATGATGAAGGGTTGTAATGAATTCTCCATCATTAACCATTTTTAAATCAAGACTGGATGTTTTTCTAAAAGATACAGTCTAGGAGCCACATAAGGTCGGTTCTATGGCCTGTGTTATGTAGGAGACCAGATGATTTCAGTGGTCTCGGAATCTATAAATATGCAGGAAGCCTGTGAAGTGAGAACTGAACCTAGGTTTCCTGAGTCTTAGTTCAGTGCCTTGACCATCAGACTGTCCTTCCTACCAAGCAACTGTAAGCAATTGTTATAGTTATCACAAAGATGTTACGTGATTGGGACTAAAAGGCAAAGTGTTCCATATGCTCATGAATGCTAGGTGTTATTTAATAAGGCACTCCAACCAGTATGCAGAGGCAAGTATACTGGCATTTAACACTAAACTAGAAAAAGTACTAGAAAAATATATTGTAAGAAACAATCCTGAACCAGCCTCTGGGGGATGAGCCTTATAGGTCTTTTCCATCTGTAATGTCTATAGTTCTGTTATCAAGTGTATGAGAACAGAAACATTTGAGCACATTTGGTGGGTAACTTGACTACAATAGTTTAAGCCACAGATCACTGGATGTGCTCTGGTGTCTCCTGGATAATAAGAGTGGTTCCTTTCATATGTTTAGGGTGTAAGAACATTAAAAGAAACATATCCATTGATACTTAATAAATCATTCTCCCTCCCTCCCAGCAATCCTTATTTTAAGTTAGAAAAAAGTAAACTTTCTTCTGTTTTTATGAAGAGTTAAAATTGAGTTCTGCATGTATGATGCACTCTTGGGCACAGACAAGCTTTTGTAAAGTGCAAAGTCTAGCCACTTATACAGTATTTTAGCTACATGAAACCTCCTAGATTTTTATTCTTTACACTGAAAAATGGTTCAGGAATCATTGGTACTATATTTTCAGTAGTTGGCTCTCTAAGGCAGGTTTTGTACAGTACATCTTTGTGTTTATACAATACTTAGCACTGTGGCCGCTAGACAATAACATAACACAATACAAATAATATGTTAGCATTAGCCTACACGTACTTAAAACAGATTCAGTCCATCGGAGACACCATGGCTTAGGGGACCACTGTTGGTGTCAGGAGAAGTGGGTTCTAATTCTTTCTCTGCTATTGACTCATTTTGTGACCTGGGTCATGTCACTTCACATCTCAGTGCTTCAGTTTCCTCATCTGTGAAATGGCGATAATAGTGCTTACCCACTTTATAAACCACTTGAGATCTTTAGATTAAAAGCACTACAAATGCTATTATCATCATCATCAAGCTGTTGAACAGTTTACTACAGATCATAAAAATAAGTTGAGACTTGTGTCTGACCGTAAACCGGCCTTGCAAAATAATTATGGCAATTTACCAACACAAGAACAAAATCTGCTTGCCCATAGTTATGCTGATGATGATAAAGAAAAAAAAATGCTATTTTATTCACCTGCCACAAAAATAATATCTTCTGTGGTTGAGTGGACCAGTACAATTTTGCAAAGCTGTTAAATTTCTGTACTGCATGTTGTTTTCTCAGGTGCCTGTACCACTGTCCCACTACACCCATCAATGGCTCCCAGCTACCCAACTGAGGGCACTCACCGGGTGGAATTCAGTGTGGACCATACTGAGCACCTGGAGACAATCCTATCTAGCATGCGAGGGATCCCAGAGATTTCATCTCTCATTACTCTCCCTGCCAGGTACTGTGCATGATTCTCTGTCCTTTTCTTCTGTTGCTTTGAAAAGGGAAAGGTGTTTCTTAAGATGCAAACTACAATAATGGGAAATAATATACAGGTGACTATCTAAGGTCTGGATAAGATGTTATAACTTCTTATTGAAAGTTTTTACCATTGTGGGATAATGGGCCTTTAAGATGGAGATCGAGATTATTTTACTATTATCAGTTTCTCTGGGTATTCTTCAGGCACTGGTTTTTATGTTCATAGTTGGTGGACTTGGATGCATTTGATGATAAATCTGACTTCCTCAGGTACAGCCTTCTGTGTCAGGACTTAATGAGGGAAGTTATTTAACTTAAAGTGTAGTGACCTCAAAAATAAGGAGATGGTTAATGTGTCAGCAGAATGTGTGGGCCAAGTGGTATGTGGATATAGTGGGAATAGCTTTTTGTATGAAACTGAACTTTACCTTCAGGTGGAAGCTAAAAAGTGGCCTTCGTGCCATAAGGAAACCTTAAAAATCTCATTTTCAAATCCATTTCACAATTTGTTTGGAGTGAGAAGAACTGACTGAACAAGATGGATAGTCTTTCCTTTTAAAGAAGCCGTTTTTATTACCAAGTGTTGAAATTCCAATCTGCTTTTGTGAGAACAGTGAAAATAACCTTTGTGGAAAAAATTTTAAACATGGATGCTAATGGCATTAAGAGACTAAACAGAACATGTGACCCTTCTGTAGTGTTTCTTTGGGCCGAAAGAATTTGCGTTCAGTTTGCTCCACAAAGTCTAAATTTAATATTAAGTACAAACTGGGATTAAAGGGTGGCTAGTAACTCAAGAAGTTACAGGTACCAGTCCAATTGCAGAGATGGAGAGGAACAATTTTGTCATTCAGTTTGATGGGAGCAGTTTGGCTTAATTCCCGCATCCCCATTAAGCTGTATGTTTCTTTTATAGTAGTGTGTTGGTCTGGTACCACATCTCCTTTTTCTTTCTTCTGTGATAGAAAGAGTTATTCCATTAACTAGATTCTGAAATTGTTTTCTTAGTAAACACCAAAAATGCTGTCATTTCTCAGGGCTGAAGGTGAGGAGCAGACACGAGTCAGTTTGAACTGCACCCAGAAGGCGCTGCTGGAGGTGGTGGCATTATTGTCACGGAACAGCCTTCTTTATCACAAGACTGAAATAATGTTATTACAGAAGGTAACAGAATTCCCATACCAATTCCTCTTTCCATGAATTTAGTGCTTGTGAAAGGCACCAGGTTGATAGCCCTGGACACGGAAATCCTCTACTCACAGACCAGATACAGCACTATCAGCAGCAATGCAAGTTTCCCTGAGATGCCTCTATCAGTTTGCCTTAACACTGACCTTGAGGGACTTGAAAGCATTTACTTTCTAAATCTGTGAAAATGATTGTGTGACCTACAGTAGCACTTCAACTAATAGTTAGTGTAGATGTGGCCAACGTGTTACCTAGTCCTTTGCAATATCATATGTATCTTTCTTTTGTAAAGCACTCAGAAACTGACTTTCTATGTTTAATTACTCCCCCTGTACTCAGCACTGTGGTGTCTAGATGTCAGTTCCTGTTAGAGTAAAAGGTGATGTGAACAGCTGCAGGGAGCACATTCACAGTAATTTTTTAAACTTCTGCTTCTCCGCAGCCTCTGCTTCCACATACTGGAATGGGACGCCTATGCACGCTGAGTGAGCCAGTCTCCCTGTCAGCCTTGACTGAACGAATCAAAAACCATCTAAGGCTGCCTTACATACGCCTGGCCCTGGGAATGGGGAAGACGTTAGGTAAACAAGTCCACAAGTGTGTTTGATTTTTCCACTATAATTAGTGCCCCATAAATACAAGAAGTTGGTGGAGTAGTTATTACTGGTGTATTATCTCTCCTGTAGGACAGATATGCTTCCTAGTACCAGGTGGGTCTAAAGAAGAACTGGTTTTAGTAGTTATTATACTACATATATTCGAGAGCAGGGGTCGGCAACCTTTGGCATGCAGCTCATCAGGGTAATCCGCTGGTGAGCTGCAAGACATTTTGTATGTTGACCATCCACAGCTCCCAGTGACCACAGTTGGCCATTCCTGGCCAATGGGAGCTTGGGGAAGCAGCGGCCAGCACATCCCTGCAGCCTGCTGCTTCCAGCAGCTCCTAGTGGCTGGGAAGGGTGAACCACAGCCACTGGGAGGTAGGGGTGTGCGTGTCCGTGTCCGTGCGTGTCTGCAGGCAATCAATGTAAACAAAATGTCTCGGGGCCCACCAACAGATTACCCTGATGGGCCGTGTGCTGAAGGCAGCCGACCCCTGTTGTAGGGACTCCTTTTCTAATATAGTCTGAATTTTAACAGTGAATTTTGTGTTACACTGGTTATCACTGTGAGGGAGAGAGCACACAAACAGCATGAGCTGTCTTTTTCCATGAGTTGTACAATAGCACCTCCTGTTATAGGGTCTTTCCCAAGACTTTTGGGGACAAACACAGACATGCCACCTTGAAGGTAATATTTTAGAAACTCTTACATGATGAATTGAGATTTAACGTCTCCTTGAAATAGTAAGAATACAGTATACTTGTATAGCACCATACAAAAATATGTACATATCTGTTGGCATTATTAATATTGATATGGGAAACCACCAAACACTAATTTAACCATTATTTTAAAATAACATTTTATTAAATTCAAAGGTCAAATGATATTTATACAATTGTTTTAAACATGCCTAAAAACCTAAATAAGCAATTTACTACATCCAAACAATAACAAAACATTACGCATTTGATTAAGATGCTTACAAGTGGGCTAATCCCAGGGCTGCTTAGACCCATATTGGTTGACTTCAACCTGGTCAGGCAGCTATTAGCTATGAACCCTTTAAAAATTTACTTTTTATACCCTTTCACAAACAAATGGTGTTGTAATTGCCAATTACTGACGTTAGCTAAAAGCCAATTTGAGGCAATTTACACTTATTTTCAGTTTTAAATTAGGTAAGATTTATGCCCTCTTTTTCCCATTTTTATTTTCTCTGCCACTCCTTGCTTACAAGCAAAACAGTGGGAAGGTTTGGGCTTGTTTGTTTGTTTTTTAAAGACAGTTTTTTGTTTTCTTTTTTGTTACTGCAGCTCTTTATTTTCACAGCCTTCTTTTACCTTCTGTTGGGGGCCTTCTCCCTACTAGCCACAAACTATAAAGCAAATGTTATTTTTTTAAACCAAACTTAAGCTAACTTTAATTTGTTTTATTTTATACTTATCCTACAATATCTATGTTTTGTGAGAGGAGAAACTGAGGCATAGAGAAAGGACTTGCCCAGGATCAAACAGCAAATCAGTAGCAGAACCTAGAATACAACTCAGGTCCTCTTGATCCAGTTACCTGTCCTAAACCCCAATTGCCTCCCTTCAAACAGGATAACTTGTGAGATTGAATAATTGGGAAAGCTTGTCTTAGTTTTTGGTATTATCCCTGAGAAAGGCAAGTCTTATTAAAAAACTATCGAGATTAGCAGCTGTATTCCTAAACCATGCTCAGTGTTTTAAAGTCCCTAATTCAGTATAGACCAGTGGTTTTCAAACTTTTTTTCTGGCGACCCAGTTGAAGAAAATTGTTGATGTCTGTGATCCAATGGAGCTGGGGCAGAGGCGTTTGGGTACAGGGGTGAGGGCTGTAGGGTGGGACCAGGAATGAAGGGTTCAGAGTGTGGGAGGGGGCGCTGGGCTGGGGCAGGGGATTGGGGTGTGGGCTTACCTCAGGCAGCTCCCAGTCAGCAGCATAGTGGGGGTGCTAAGGCAGGCTTCCTACCTGTCCTGGCACCGTGGACCATGCTGCACCCTGTAAGCAGCCAGTAGCAGGTCCGGCTCTGCATGGCTCTTGCCCACAGGCACTGCCCCCCCCCCCCCCCCCAGCTCCCATTGGCTTGTTCTTGCCATATACATATGAGATCATTTTATTCATTACTAATAAGACACTTCAACAGATAACTTAAACTGCAGTGGTCAAGAACCAGCCACTGTGTAGCAATTTCCTCTTTTCTCCACACATCAACTGGAGAAGGTTCCTGCTAGTGAAGAGGAGCTGTCCATCCATCACTAGTTTAGAGACCATGGCTTTTTGCTGCATTCCCAGTTAGTGGCCCATACACCTCCTCCAAACTAATATCCCCTCCCAGCACCCAACAAATTTCCATTGGGTGTAGGACCAAGACAAGGGTTAGCACTGCATTTATCTGTTTTGAAGCCAGCATCAAGTCTGAGGGGTAGGAAGGCAGTTTAATTGTGGCACTTGCTGTCTTGCAGAAACCAAAGTGAAGGTGGCTGCTCTGTGTGCTGGCTCTGGGAGCAGCGTCCTGCAGGGTGTGGAAGCCGACCTCTATCTCACTGGTATGAGACTTGTTGTTCCATACTTAGCTTTATAAAATCGTCACTAGAAAGAGCAATCTGATTAGTTGCTGAGGAATCCAGCTGTGAAGAAGAATGTGGTATAATTGCAAACAGCAAGGAATCAGTTAGTTACTAAAAGAACAAATAAATCCTACAAGCAACAATGCAGGTCCAGTGCTAGATTGACCACCTGGTAACCTATGATAAAGATGTCAAATGTAGGAGAGACTCTGTTCAAGATTGTAGCCCAGTGTCCATGGGGAATTTGTCAGTCATCCCCTCTTAGTGCAGATGCTTGTATTAGATGTGTATACATGCAAACAATTCAAGTCTAACAAAATTGTGGGCTACGTCTTTCTAATCATTAAGAGTAAATGATGGGCTTTTGAAATAACTAAATTTAAGAAATAAACAAAAAGGCTCCAGTCTTGCAACTGAAGGCGCAAGGGTGCATGACTGTGTGGAGCCCCACTGACTTAAAAGGAACTCCACATGGTGCAGTCAGTTGCAAAGTTCAGGGACTAAATCTAGGAGGAGACCTACAGTAAAAACTTAATCCTCATCTAAGCTTCTTAACATAGCATTTTTCTTTAGATGGTAATAATCTAGATTGCAGTAGCTCCCAAAATGTGAGAGGAAGACAGTCTACAACCCCAAAGAGCTTCCACTCTAAAAAGAAAAAAGAGAGGAGTAGGGGAAGCAAAGTGATCAGCGTGAGGCTAAGCATATGTTTCATTAGCAGGATGTTCATTTGTTGGTTTTGTGTGTTTAATTTTGAAGTGTCTAATTTAAAAATCATGTCTTTCTGCCACACTGGTTCCCAGCTTCAATTCCAGCATCCTTATAACCTGTTCTTCCTATATGTGAGCAGTTCACTCTGAGATATGTAGGTGACTCTTACCATACACATGAGACCAATCACATAGGTGATTAGTGTTGTGGAAGAAGTTAGGAGGATTCTGTAGTCTGCCAGATGGACATGAAACCTTTCCTCTCTCCTAGGTTACCGCTAGATCTTCCTTCTGTTAGATCTAGCTATTCAGTTTTAACCTGTAAACCTGGAAATCCACGACCTTCTGGACTGTGTGTAGCCCCATATTCCTAAGGCTGGGCAACTCACCTTCATTCTTCCCAACCTGGCTCTCCCAGCACAAAATCCAAACCAAAAGATGCACCCTGTAGAACATATCAAGTTGTTCTAACACAGTTTTCAATTAAACATTTCAAAACATCAGCTAGAATTACTGGTATTACATTAGTGCCTAAAACGTGGTAGGTGCTGTGCAGACATACAGAAAGGCAATTACATCACATAAGCAAGACATCCTTCAACAGCCAGTGCTGTGTGAAAAGCAAACTGTCTGGTTTGTTTGCACATATAGTCACTGCACTTCCAGTATCTAATATTGCTTTATAAGGTACAGTAGGATACTTGGTGTCTGAAAGATGCTGTGTAAATCCAAGCTCTAACGTGGGTGGAGGTAGAAAAAGTTCCTAATTGGTTAAATCCTCAGGAGGTCTCTGGAAAGTGTCTGGGAAAGATAATTTCAGCCATTGCAGGACAATCTAAAACGTAATTATTGTTGACAAAGAACTACATAGTAATGCAGACTCACCTGGAATGGTGTCATAGGGTAACTTCCCCCAGCTAATAAGAAGCTGTGGCTCCAGAAGAGGGTTCTTGGTCAAGAGAGCCTCGCTGGTAAGGGACCTAGACATAACCTTAGTCTATCAACTCCACTTAACTCAGTCCCTTCCCCTTCTAGCTAGAGATGCTGGGGGAATTTGTACAAAAGTTCCAGCTGTGGGTGAAATAAACTAGACCCTGAAGGAGCACTGTTCAGTATACATCAGCCTCACTGGACTTACTGAAGTCCACTAGGGTAAACTGAGGTAGAGACACAATGGTGGTGCTGCACCAGGCCTGCAGAGGTGCACTAGGAGTGAGGGCCCTCCATGTAGATGGATTATATAAACACATAGAAAGTTAGACTTATTTAAAAAAATAGGTCTAAATTATTAGGGTTAATGACAGATTTTAGAAAACTACATCAGAATATTAGTGTACTATTGAGAATGTAAATATAAAAATAAGTCTCCACTGGATGGAGGTGAGGGAAAAATAGTAAGAGTAAAAATTCCTGCAGAGGTGGGGGTTGTGGGGGCAAATACTCTTAAATTTTATGTAATGAAGTGTTTGAGGTCATTTAAGGTAAACAATTCTGTAAAGTTAACATTCATGAATTCTTTAAAAAGAGCACTCTTGTATAGTGATGAATCTATCACAATCTGCATCACATTTCTCCTTTTGTGGGAAACATATTTCCATAGTTCTCTATAGGACTGTATTCTAGAAAATGGAACAACATAGTATTTTTGCAACACTACTCTTCCACAGGAGCAGAGACTTTTTAAATATATTTACTTACAATGAACTACAAATGATGCAGGTCTAAATAGCTAATCTACGTGGTATCTCTTCTCATTCTGGCAGGAGAGATGTCCCACCATGAAGTACTGGATGCTGTTGCCAAAGGGATAAGTGTGATTCTGTGTGAGCACAGTAACACTGAGCGAGGCTTTCTGTCAGAGTTGCGAGATATGCTGGCTACACACTTAGAGAATAAGATCACTATTGTTGTGTCAGAGAGAGACAGAGACCCTCTTCAGGTGATATAGAAGAAAGCAAGGGTCACAGCATGGAGTCCAGAATGTGTCCCCCACCACTGACTTAATGCAAGTGCAAACTTGATTAAGATGCTCTGAACTAGTGCAGTCCAGAATAACTGTACAATACATTCCCCAAAGTGTAGGAGAGGTAAAAATCTATCAGGTAAAGAATGTTAATTTTGGACTGACACACTATTTCTTGAAGATTACTTCTTGCTGCACTCAGTAGGGATGGGATCATGAGAATGTAACTAAGTAATCCAGCAAGAACAATATATATTGATGACATCAAGCCTATGTATCTTTGTTTCATAGCACCCCCCAGTACTAGAATATGTCCCTAATTATCAGTACAAGTGACTTATGTTTTAGGGAGTGGAACTCCTGTTAACATTGATCATTGATTCTGAATACTGCTAATGTACAGCAAACTATATAAAAAATGTGGAACAAGATTTTGGCATTTGGTACAAATATGGTAATCCTTGGTGTTGCATTAAGGTTCTTCCATCACAAGAATTGGGAAATTCCAACTTGTTCCCTTAACCTCATTATATATATCACTTTTAATTTGTCATCTTTAAAAAGCAGATTTCTTCACCTATGTGCCTAACACTGCAGGATTACTTACATTGAAATAATGTCTTTTCACCATAAATGTTGATCACTTACTTTATAGTTCAGTCAAACTTTGAAAATGAAAGGAAACGCTTCAGGTTTCACACGTTTGGACTGTAGACAAGCAGGGAAATATTTATATTCAAACTAAAAATGTTTCCAAGACTTTAAATTAAAATGGACACATCCTTCTTTAGTGCATGTAAGAGACTGGACTTACTAAAAATAATCTCTCTCATGTTGGAGTTAAGTTGTTTGAGACAGTAAGGAACTGGATCAGGAAGCAGTCAGGGGAGCAAAGGAGAAACATAGCTGGGAGTGTTTTGGAGGTGCATGATGATTTATAGATCTTCAACCTAGGATCAACAGATACCATCTGATTAGAAGATTGTATTCCTAAGCACTAAGAAATGGAATGTTTGGAGCAGTGTTGTTGTTTTTTTTAAATACATGTAGGTTCTGATTGCATGCTGGTTTGAGCCTTTAGCATGCAGTTGCTTCATGTTTTGAAGCTTATCTCAGCAACTATGAAGGCTAAATACTTTTTTTAAATGAAAATTGAGCTTTCTTGTGCAATCCTATGTCCAGTAGTAGGGTTTTGAATTAAACCCTATCATGATGGCTGGTAAGATAGAGAATGAATGCCTCCAGCCAGCACTGAGCCTCTCCTGCTGCCCTTGCTTTCTGTGCCAGGAAGCTGAGACTTATGTTCATTCCACTTCCCTGAAGATGGAAACAGTTCTGGTTAATAAGGGTCACTTATTTTCACACTTTTAAAAGCGACCTTCCCAAGAATTCTCTCACATGGGAATAGTGAAACATGACTTTCTGAGCAGTGGAGTTGGAATCTAAACACAGCTGGGTATCCTGCTAAGCCAGAATGATTTTAATGTCGTCAGAAAATGGAGACTAGCTGCATTAGTGCAGCAAAAGATGGCCATTGGCACTAGACTCTAAAAACCTGGCAGGGAGGGGTGATGGGGACCATAACCCTCTTCACAAGGCAGCAGAGGTGCCTACTGTACTTTCAGTGGAAATCTCAGAGACTAAGCTTTCCCTGTGCAATGTGCCTGCTTTCAAAACAATGGCTGCAGGTGCTCCACTTGTAATGCACCATCCCTACCATGGCCAGCGGCTTTACAGACCCAATCGGGACCTTCCTCATAGGTGATTGTGTATGACAACATTCAAACTACTTTTGTCTGAGGATCTGGAGAAGCTTCACTGACCTGGTCTATATACAATTCCCTTTAATATTAATTTCCTCTAGCCTAGACCTTGCACAATCCAGTTCACTCTGCCTTGCCAGCCCACATTGGTTAGAAGTCCATTCTTGTTATTAGGCCACTGTAGTTACCTGGGAGCAGCTCTGAGTACATAGACTTGAGCATACATGTTATGTGAGGGATTTAGCCAGGAATCTTCACTTAAAGATAAGTGGAAGCATGTGATTAAAGATTCTCTGCCATCTAACCAAAGCACTCATTTAATCATTAGTAAAATGTTTTCTGAGGCTAAGCTAGAGCTTGTTTTTTTCTGAACTTTCTTTGGGTAAATGAAAAAATTATTGCATTATGCAGTATTGCAGCAGGCTCAGCTGCATCATATAGACCAACACAATTGACCATAATTGGAATGCCAGCTGTGATACTAATTACAACTAACACAGTAAATGCATTATGATGTATCTGGTAGTCAAATGTTTTATCACCATTATGAATGCAATTCACTAAGCAGGAAGGGGAATTCAGACTGAATGAAGGACTCACTCCTACTTTATTAAAGTCAATGGGTGCAGAATTGATCCCAAAAAACCTAGAAATTAATTCTGTATTAACGGGCAGCCATTAAGTGACAGGAAATTAATGCACAGCTTAGGCAGTCATTTAATTGTTTTGAGAGGCTCAAATTTAGACGTACTGCAGGGATTATTTACAGCAATTTACCTGAGCCTACATGAGGCAAGAACTGATTCTCTCTCTCTCTCTCACACATACACACCTACACCTACCTGTCTGTTAGCAGAAATGTACATCATCCCAGGAACCCATATAGCTGGTCTGAAAAGGTTGCCTCACTCCTGACACCTCTGATTCACTGACAAAAAAAATCTGAATCAATTAAAAGGTTAGGGGTATTACAGCACCGCAGTGCTTGGTCCGAGCGAGTTTCAAATCTAGCAGAAAGACAGCTGATACTTAACTTCACTGGAAGCACACAGTTCCACCTCTATCTTTAACAATCTGTTTGGGGGGGGGGGGGGGGAAGAGTACAGCACTGCATTGTGGCCCTCCAAAACAGAATTCAGTTCAGTTTTCAGTTCTACAGTAACCTGAGCATCAAGTGGTCTAAGCACAGGACTCAGTATGTGATGGGCACTAAAACAAAGTCCCTCCCCTGCTTAGATGGGAGTCACTACCAGGAGTTCTGAGTTCTAGCCCCAGCTGATATGCCTTTGGAGACCTCAGGTAAGTCACAATCTCTGCCTCAGTTCCCCATTGTGATGTTTGTAAGTCATTTTTAAGTGTTAAGTATTAGTAGTAAAAAGGGGGCAGACTTCCCTTTGAATTTTCAGAAACAGAAGATTCTGAGAACATAGGGGTGAACTGAGAATTTAAATTCACTTCTTAATGCAGCCATGCCTTGTGTCACCTGCCATAGCGTAGACAAGAATGAAAATGAGGTTTCTGTCATCTATGCACCAGGAGATCTGTGAGAGAAACTAGAGAACATGAATAAAAGTTTATTTAACATTCTGGTAATTCAAAGCAGTCATTTATAAGATGGATTGCCACAAGATTAGGCAATAAGAGTTCAAGTGTCCCTGAAGTCTGACTGGCAGAGTTTTACATAGGTGATAAAACTGCAGAGCCTAAAGGTGACCTGCAAAGGAAAAAAATACTACATCGGTGCCTCTGATATATGGAGAAGGCCTCAAAGTATCCTTACACTCCCATATAACCACATTTTTTCTTCTACACTAGAAATTCAGATCAGATCTCTGGTTTTCCTAGAAGGCACTATAGATCCTGGAGAACTGGTAGACTAGGACAGAGAAATCATGCAGGTGAAAGGAGACTGAAAGTTATCTCATGCAGACTGTTTGAACATAAACAATACATTTTAATTTAGTGCAAATGCCTAAAAAAATACCATGGAGAAAAGTGGTCTTTGTTGAATTTCTCATCTTCTATTCAGGACCTCCAAAAAGTTCTCCAGGAAATCCAGGTTAGACATCCCTGATTTTAAAAAAAATACTTTATAGCCTTCTGTACATACCATAAAGCAGGAAAAAGTCACATTGTTTTTCCCTCCTTCCCATTACAGGTCACTGTAGAGCCCTTCCCAGTCACAATTTTCAATATAGATTCCCCCTTGTAAAAGGATTTGGATTTTGGGAAAGCTCCTCTATTCTGTCAACATTTCAGCAGAGAGGGATGGTTTAATAAGTTACCCACAACATTTCAACCCCTTGTTATTTATGTTCCACTTTTATTCCACTCCCAACTTAACCACTCAAGGTAGATCACTTGGCATTCTAAAATCTCAGCAACTTCACACACTAGGAGCCCATCGGCATGACCAATGTAGGGAGTACTGGAAAGCACTGAGCTGTGAAAAATTACACCTCTAGTTCAAAATAAAGCTTTGAGCATGAAGTCATTGCATTCCTCAAGTGAGCTGCTCCAGCGAAACCTTCCTCTGCAGAGAGGTAATGAGCAGAAGGCACAATCTTACTGAAGAGTTAGTTTTCCTAGTCCGTAAAGGTGGCTGCATAGATACGAAGAAGGCATCATGTGAGCTGGAAGACTAAAAGCAGACAAATCTAAACTCAAGAGTAAGATATGTCTTGCTTATGGAACTCTTTACCCAAAACTACTCCAAGTAATTAGAACACCAAACTTAGAAAGTGTCACATTTCATTAAGTGGTCCAGCAGCCCCGGTCAAAGGGAGAGAGTGATCCAAGTTCAGACTCCTCTCCAGCAGCCCTTGATAACAGTCGGTGTAGATGGTTTGGGATTTGAGAGGATTCACATGTCTTCATCCTCTTTTTCTAAAAAGTCAGTCAAGGTTCCGTTGTCTACAGGAATTAATAAATACTCCACTCCATCTGTTCCCTGAAAACAGACACACACTGTCAACGCAGGACTGTGGCAAAGAAACTGCACCGGTGTAAAATGCGACATGAGCCACTAGACAACACTGTTACAAACAGCGCAGATTTGACACACCAACATGGCCTTATGTAGTGAGATGCCCAGCCAGGTCAGCGTTCAGTGGTACTAACTACAATATTAATCCAGAAACATTTCCCTAGCATGCCCACAAGAGAAAAAGCACATTGAAATAATCAGCTCATATCTGCTTTGGGAGACAAACCCCAAAGCTTTAGAAGACAGCTGACTCAATTACCCTTGCATATTACACGAGAGTGGGAGCAGTCCCTACTTACTTCACTTTACTTAAATGACTTACACTGTATGTCCTGAGGCAGTATTTCTTGCAAAAGAGGGACACGGTCTAATAGAGAAAAGTGGCAACAGGAGTTCTTCAGACATTTATCAGCTATAATGCGGTAGTGATAATGCAGGCAGACATCACAGTACAACTGTGCTTAAGCAAAGTTCTGTTAAGTTCCCCAAGGGTGTAATGTGCCTCTATTCACTCCTCTGATCTATGTCCCTCAAGGCCAGAGCCCTGTGCTTGCCTCCTGTTGTTAAGTCAGTTTGCAGCTAGACGATCCTCTACACAGAGCTCTGGGTTTGGGAGACCTGGGAATGCAGCCTTGTTGCTGGAGCTGGCTAGCAGTCTCCATTCTGGGGACTCCAAGAACAGACTTCAAAGCTTGCTAAATAGTCTCTTCTAGTTATCCAAATGCTTCAGATTGCTCCTCGAAATCTTCAGGTAATCAGGGTTCCACTGAATACCCAGAGGAGCTCTGTGTTGTTAAGTAACTAAGCTATGTTGCACTTTCTGCAGTCTCTTTCCATTACACAGAAAGTTGAGAGGCCTGCATGCAAAAGCAGGTAGCATGCTATAGGCCTTCAGCCCTTCTCTAATGCACTGACCATTTGTCAGTGCTTCGAAGAGTGTACTTTGGACATGGGTACAGTTCATCTCAGGTGCTGCCCCAGTCTCAGGTAAACTCAACAGTATGCAAGTAGTGAAATAAAAAGTAAGGCCACCCCTGCAGCCACAGTCAAGATAAAGTTGCCTAGCTCACCCGCTTGGTCCGGATGAGCTTGTGGTCCCTGAATTCTGTCAGCTGAGCCCGAAGAGTCAGGTCACTGTTCACAAGGAAGGCTTCCCGACACCGCTGGTAGAAGTCTTGGAAAGATAGTCCTGGGTATGGAGAGGAGTTAAATAAATCAAGACAGCCAGCAACCAAAGCAGATCCATGTGCTCTGGTAGAGGGCAAAGTTACTTCCTCTCCTGCAATCCTGAAGGATAAATTGCACAGCTTGCTCACTATAAAGCAGCATTACTGGGACATCCAATTTGAGAGGGAGCCCCCTTAAAAAGAGGGAGAAGGAATCTCCTGCTATTTCAGCTGTTACTCTGATCAAAGTCAGAACATACATCCTGACCATATTTAATGCATTTGTCAGCCACAGCTTTGTTCCACAGATACAGCCAAGCTAAAGGGATTTCAGGAATGGAAAGTGGCAGATCTGACAGTACAAGATCCTCCATTTGGAAAAGTCAAACTTTCAGAGCACCTCAAGCGCATAGCCCAGTGTGGGTTTCTTGTTCACTGCAAGCTCCTATATTATTTTATCTTTATCTTCCTAGATTATTAATACTATGCCATTTATTTGCAAGTTGCAGAGCACTACAGAAATTAACCTGTAGGTATCATAGGTGGACAAGCCAGGACATAGATTATGTGGCCTGACTAAGGTCACGCAGTTAGTCAGTGGCAGAAGTGGTAACAGAACCCAAGAGGTCTCGACTCCTGGTCTCCCCTAATCAATGGATGGTGTGTGACAGTCAATTTCTTCCTTGGTTTTGTAACTCAGCCTCATGTGGAGGATTTCACTATCACCATGGGTGACAGTAAGAAGAGATCCTCTGAACTCAGCCATTCATCTGATTTCATGTCACACACCAGAACATGTAGCCCAATGCACAGCACTGGTAGAGATGCTCTGTACTAAACTCACTTTCAAGAGCCAGCAGTTTCAGTAAATCTGCTATGGCAACACACAGAAGCTGAGTTCTCCCATTTTAGCACCTTGACTGATCTGTCAATGGTGCCACTTAAGAGAAGAGAGGAAATGCCACATGCATTCCTACATCAAACACCAGGTACCTGGGTAAGATGGGTTATCCTTGTTCTCCAGATGATACTGAGCCAGCAGTCTGAAAATCCCTCTATAGGGAAAAAAAATATTTTTTTTTTTTGGAAGGCCATTACAGAAATGTTAAACAATTTTTCTTGAACAGAGTCTTGTGTGTATACAGCAGCTGGAGGAAAAGACTTGCTTTCCAAGAGCCATTAATTCAAAGTGGTCCCATTCCTCCATCATGTAAGGACTACTGATCACTTGGAACCCAAGTTAAACAATCAACTTGAAAAATGTCAGAAAGCCGATTGTTCTATAGAACAAAGCCCAAATTAAGTTATCATTCCATAGAGCCCAGGAGACAGGACTCAGGAGTACACCCATGTAGTCAACTAATTC